GTACAACAAACTCCTTTTCCAAAGTTTCTTAACTTAATTTCATTGACTATCCCCCCTTCTATCAGATAAAGCAGAATCCCCAGACATCATAGATTGGGCCTTATGTCTTTTGAGGCATCATTTAGATTATCTTGGTCATTAGGAACTTAGTTTAAAAGCTGAAAATTGTGTTGTCATTAAGAAATTCAACAGAAGTGGAATATTTCATCATGGAACCACAATGAGGTTAATGAACAGAAGGAAGAAATCATAGTAGTGCATAGTAGTCTTCATGGGTCAGGAGGAAATTATGATCTGTTAGCTATAGAATAAGTCATCTGATTTTGCAGGTCACTTGTCCTAATCCTGCTTTGAGATCTAGTATTCTAGGGACTGGAGAGGTGGTTTAGTGATTAGGAGCAATGGCTGCTCTTTGAATGTTCCAGATTTGATTCTAAGCACTCACTTGGTGGCTCACAAACATCTGTAATTCCAGTTCCCTGGGATTCAATTCCGTCTTCTGTATTTCTCAAGAGTCAACACATCCATACACATAAAAAATAAAAAAATAAACTTAAAAATAAAATATCTAGTGGCCTTCATTTTCAGTTAGGCCTTAGGACCCCACATATTGCTAAGGTCACGGGCATAATATGGGAAATTGTACCATTCATTAGATAATCATTGAAACTCAGCTACCACTGCTCAATTGGCTTTAAAAATGTTACAAATACATTGATATACCTGAGCTAGGATGAATGGTGAGTACATTCTTCAGACGTACTGGAGTTACTAGAAAACATCAGACTTTGACTAATTTCCACAATGCCCAGTTAAGCACCATGCAGTAAATCCAACCAGTGAACAATACTCACATAGTCTTGTGTATCTGGAAATGCCAATGTTTTATTTACTTTCTCCTAAGTCTGCATGGAAAGTATTCCACACCAAGCTCATAAGGAAGCCTCTAGCATTAAGAATAAACACCATAGTAAACAAAACAGGAAATGGATCCATGGAAGCAGGAATAACTTCTTAAACTCTCAAAAGATATTTTTAGACCTTTGGAGACATGAGACTAACTGTATTCATAAAACTGAAACAGTGATGCAATGTTTTTTTTTAATATCAGGAAAGAACAAAAGATTTTGAAGCAAAATTATGGTAGTAAAAAGTGAGGGAGAAAATGTTTAGTGGTGAAGTTAAAGAAATCTGAGCGAGAATCAGGAATAAGTAATACAGTTATTCTGGGAACTGCAACAATGAATATTTAGAACTGAAGGGGAAAAGTTTAGTGAAGATGAATGACAGAAATTATTAACTACTGAAAAGAAACTCCAATCTGAAGGACATGAATTTACTTACAGAGGATTTCCAAGTGCCCAGAACGATGGTGCAGGGGACCTACACTCAAGTGTGTCATGGTGAATTCCTTAACAGTAGTTGCAGAAAGAAGATGTAGAAGCTTCTCAGGAGAAACAAAAGCAGTAAGTTCACATTCACAATTACACCAGGTTTAGCAATATGGATGATGGAAGCTAAATATGGCAGAATAATCTTTTTAGGGTTCTCAGGGAAAGTAGTTTCTAACCCATCAGTAGAACTGTGCCTTAGCTAGCTTTACTGTCTTCCTAAGATCTCAAGATCTAATTCAGTTGACAATCAAGATTAATCATGGGAAACTGGAGTCTCAACTAAACTATTAAATCGAGTAGAATAATTTAAATCAAGACCCATACATTTTCAATAACTTTGCCGTTCATGCATTCTATTTCAAGATGCTAGTAGGAAAATGTAATTAACTGAAATGAAGAATTTTTAGCCAACAAAATAAAAATAGGGGTCAAGCAATAGAAAGGAAAATATGTATTTAAAAAAAGAAAAAGAAAAAACTTCACCTAAAAGAAACAATGAGTTCCCAGAAATGTGGAGATTAAACTTTGTAGAACAGCTTTGTCTCAACTGGGAGTGGTGATATCATCCAGGGCCTATGACAATAACTGAAAACAGTTTGTCACCATAAATGGAGTCCTAAGAAAGAATACTACTGTCACCTAATGGGTAAAGGCCAGGGTCACTGCTAAACAGTCTACAATGTAGTGTATAGAATAGTGCCTAAGATGAATGAATGTTTAGCTCCAAGTGTCAACAGTGCTAAGGAAGTGAACAAGCCCAGTGTAGAGCCAGCGGAAGGAGGACTAAGATTTGGAACTCACCTAGCAGCCAAGTTCGAACTGCTGACTTATTAAACCCAAGCCTCAGGAAGTTATCTTTCCCCAGCATGTGCACAACATGGTTAAAGAGCCATGCAGAAAGCACATGTGGCAGAAAGACACAATTGAGTTTTATCCTTTGATATGATTGCTGCATCGTTAATGTTTTGCACAATGGAAAAACTCTTGGTGGCTGCACACTACCTTATTCCCTGTCAACTGCCTCCACTATACAGATTGGATTTCACACACATCGGTATCTTTCCTATCCCTTGAAAACTCTGTTTTCTCATGAATTTCTCTCTCTACATTTCTTCTCTAAGAATTCATCACCATCTCCAATAATAAGGCCCAAATTTAGTAAAGTAGAACTCAATTAAAATTAAATAAAGTGCCTCCCAAACAGTAATTCATTATTACTCAGTTTTGAGCAATACTTACTATGTAAATAACTTGTGTGTGTAGTATTAACATCACTCAAATTGCCCAACAGCTAAAGCATAACACAAGTTTATTGTTCACTTGAGTAAACGTCTCTGGTAAGTGCATCTTTTCTCAGTCAGTAGATCTCCATTACATCAAACACCTTCACTTTTATAGTTCCACCCTCACTTTCAATTTTAATTTACTCATAAACATAACCTGGGTGGATATAGGAACACCCAAAATAACAAGAAGAGCTTTATGGTCAGGTTCTGTACACAGCGTACATCATGTTAACTCACTTTACATTTCATAAAACTCTGGACACTTATCCATATGTACCTGCAAGGAAACCTGGAAAATAATTACTTTTGTGTCCATGAGGAAGAGGAAATAACTGGCAATCCCATGGGCAGTCTAAACACTTTGCCAGTAACATTCTGGACTAAAGAGACCAAAATGAATGAATGAATGAATGAGTGAATGAATGAATGAACGAAAGAATAAATGAATGCAAGAAGGTTTATATTTATTTGCAAGGTATATCTAAAAAAATTGTCATAATATAGCTATAGAAGTCACAAGGTAAACTAGCTTTCGGATATATAGAAAAATTACTAAACTTAAAAAAAGTAGGGTAGATAGATAAGCAAAGTGTGAATTTCATATAAAAGTGAAATAACTAGAAATGATGGTGGGCAGTGAGCTAAATTCTGTGTAAGATAGCGGGGGTGTTCTGGTCTCTTCCTGTGAGTCAGAAGAAAGAAGGCTATGTTGATCATAAAATAAATAAATAAAAAGATAAATCTAGGCAAGTTGGCGCTTTGTTTTATTTTGTTTTTGTCCCTGAGGAAAAGAACTGACAGTGGCTGAGAGAACTCAAGGGAGATTTTTTTAATACTTGAGGTATGGTAATGGATAGGCTAAGGTGAACTATATGAAGAAATGTAGTTGTAACCGTCTTGTTAAATAAGAAACACAGAGCCAAATACAGAGTTAAAAGCCAAGAGGTCAGAGCAATAGCTAAGAGCTGAGATTAAAAAATTTACCCTTCACTGCCGTTGCTGTCCTACCTCTCTGCAAGAGACCTACTTCCTGTGTGTTTGTCCTTTTTATTGACTTTCTATTCTGCCTTCTCATTGTTTGTAAACACAACCACATGACCTCCCCTTCACTGCCCATCTATACAGACCTCCAGGTCTTCTATGGTTGGTATTGAGATTAAAGGCGTGTGTCTTCATGCTGGTGGTGTCCTTGAACACACAGACATCTGCCTGTCATGTGATCAGGATTAAGGGCGTGTGCTACCACTGCCAGACTTCTTCTATGGCTTGCTATTAGCTCTGACCCCCAGGTAACTTTATTTATTAACATACAAATAAAATCACATTTCAGTACAAATAAAATATCACCTTTACTGCAGGGTAAAGCGGTGGTGGTGGTGGTTCTAGCCATAAAGCTTCCATGAAGATAAAATTTTCGCTTCATAGAATTAGAAACCAAATTCCAAGTGGAATGCAGAATGATTTTAAATTTAATTGAGTAGTCATGTGATCTTCCCTTGATCTGAGAGTCTTGCTCACCCTGTAGCCTTTGCTACTGTAAGCTGGGGTGATTGTTCCTGACCTGTTGGCTGGGAATGAATCAGTTTGCCCCCAGACATTCTTGTAATGTAAGGAGATGGGTTGCAACCCTTAAGATGACCACACCTAGGTTACATCTTTTTTTTTTTTTCTATTTTCTGTTGTTATTATTATTGACTTTTTTAAAAGTCTGGATACCAAGTTATAATTACCATTTAAAATATTTTTAAAATGTTTAATGCTTAAACAATCCCAGGATTTAAAAGGACACTGGGGTTTTTAACCTGGTGAAATCAGTTTTAGTGTCCACTGTAAGAGCAAACACATCTAACACAGGAAAAAAAAAACCAAAAAAACAAACAAACAAACAAAAAAAAACCTTTAGTGATAATTCTCAAGACAAAACCAGAAACAGCTAAGTAGAAAATAAATATATAGCTCATTAGTATTCTTGATTCAAATGTTTTTAATTCTATTGGTATTTTTGTTTGCTTGTGTATGTGGAGGGTGAATGTGTACCTATATATATGCAGATGCGTTCACTCTTGCATATGTATGTGGAGGTCAGAGGTGAATGTTAGATGTCTTTTTTTTTTTAGCATTTTGCATCTTATTTTATGAGACTGAGTCTGTTACAAAATCTGCTGCTCACTGATTGGCTACATTAAGTAGCTATCTTGCCTTAGAGATTTACCTGTCTCAGTCTCCCCAGCACTGGGATTACGATTCCTGCTGCCATGCCTGGCTTTTTTTTTTTTTTTTTTGTAATGTATAGTTTATTACATTTCACCCTATTTTTTAAATGAACATAATATTTGCAATTGTAACCAATTTTAAGTTCACAATTCAATGGCATGAATTACATTCAAGATATTAATTACACTCATGATATTCACTAATTACACACATGATATTAATTACATTTGTGGTGTTCATTGATTACATTCCGGGTATTGTCTTTTTAGAAAACAAGATTTCCCTATGTAGCCTTGGTTGGTCTAGAACTCAGTTATACAGACTAGCCTTGACATGAACTCACAGGGATATTCTCTCTCTCTTTGGGATTAAAGGTGGGTGCTACTACATCTGACCCTTTTAAGGTCTTTATTTGGGTTTTTATCCCCTCTTCTTATTTTGCTTCAAATTAAAACAATACAAGTCAGCCTGATATTCCCAGATGAAGCAGCCAAGTCAATCTAAGGCTCTGGGAAGCCCCAGAGAAGCATCTGGCACCACCTGTGCACACTGGTCTCTGGCCACAGTCCCACCATGCTGCCTTTGCAAGGATGGACATTTGGACAAAGACCTCAAAGTTTGCAGAGATGGTGGAGAGTCTCAGAGAATCACTTAGTTTTCTTTGCCAAGGGGGAATTTAAAAAATTATGCCAAGTCAGAAGTACTGTAGACATTGAATCCTTTTAGATGTTTTACTTCATCCCTGGCTCTCAGACTGTAAACCTGAGTTATAGAGCTATGCTTCTAAGAAATAAATGTGAATGAGTTGCATGCCTGGCTTTTTAAGGGAGTGTTGCATTTAAATTCAGGTCCTCATGCTTGATCAGCAAGCACTTTATTCACTGAACCACCTCCCAGCCCTCAAATACTTTTAAATTTGACCTTTTCAAGTAAACATATATCTTTAATATGTAAACATGTTAAAATTTACCTTAGAATATAGCAGTGACTGCATACCATAAAAATCACAAGCCTTTAAAGATTCATTGGAAGGATATGAATCTACCAACCTTAGCAGTGTAGAGTCCTGATAATTGTCATTTGAAAATATTTTTACAAATTATTTTTTATGAAGCAATTACTTTGAGAAAGTAAAGTTTAGTTGCTACTATATATTCAGAAATTCAGCTCTTTATTCTCTTTTTTTTTTAACAAACCATGTTAGCAAAGTGTCACTAGAGAAATATATGTTAAATACTACACTCTATTAGGAGAAATTTGGATTTAAATAAAATTATTTTCCAGGCCTCTCATGTTAGAATATTCTGCCACTCACAAAAGCAGAGACTAGAACTGTGGCTGACAGAAGCAGAGCCTGGGAGAAATGAGATGCTGGCCAGAGGGTCTAGACATGCAATGGCCCAAGATGAATTCATCCCAGATCCTACTGTGCAGAGAGCCAAGCAGACAGCGGTAGTGTAGGGAGTTTGGCACGTGCTGAGTAGAGCCTATGCTCTCACCACACCCTTTTCCTAAGTATTTAGAAGTGCATCTCAGGGAAGCCATTTGGTTCTGGAATTGTCCCACACCTTTTGGGTTGTTTTTTGTTTTTTGTTTTTTTGTTCCTGAGACAGGATTTCTCTGTGTAACAGCCCTGAGTGTCCTAGAACGCACTTTGTCGAATAGGCTGGCCTCAAACTCACAGTGGTACATCTGCCTCTGCCTCCTGGGTCCTGGAATTAAAGGCATGTTTCATCATACCTGTACTTGCTTTTTTGTATTAGGTGAACCACGCAGGATTTTTGCCTGAGGAGCCAAGACATATTTTTTTTTT